ATGTGGGGCTCAATCCCAGGACCCTGGGATCACGACCTGAGCCGAAGGCAGACGCTTAACCAACTGAGCCACCCAGGTGCCCCTATTAAGTCAAACTTGGTTCTTTTCTCATTAGCCCATGGAACTGGAAGTACTAGCCTGGAACCCCAATTTTTTTTGCTAACAGAACTCAGTTGTTGAGGCCAACATTCAGATTATCCCAGAATATGCCTCTCCATCCTTTAAAAAAAATCATCAAAATGAAAATCCAAAATTTAAACATTCTCATAGAGAAGTTTTATACCTGAGTGAAGAAACATGTCTTCCTACTTAATCCTAACCTTGTCGCTAGCCATGCCAAGCCCTAGGGACACTCTCCAGTGAGACAGTGTTTTGGCCACCAGCTTCTCCACTTCTCATTAGCACCCTCTGCATGGAGGAGGGTGTACAGAAGCTCTGCGTGTGTTCTGGAAGGCATTTGGAAAGGGCTGGGATCACCCAGTGACGTACTTTCACGACTGGGGCTGACTCCCCAAAAGCACATCACAACACTGTATTCAAATATACCTGAAGTTGCTTCTGGAATTTCATTTTTACCCAAAAATTGGTGACAGGAGAAAAAAGTTGCGATTAAAGATTTAAGCACTTTAATCGGTCAGTTATTTTATACATTTTCACATTGAAACAAACAAGGATATGTTATGCAGTAGAATATAAAATTTGCCTGCATTTTTAAGATAAAACTGCAGACTTCAAAGAAACACGGGCTTCAGTGGGCTACTTCAGGCCAGGCCCCAGGTCCCAGGCGCCTTGTGGGAACTTGAGTAAGTAAAGTTTGAGAAACCAAGTGATTCATCACTCCTGCCACTTGTAAGTAGGGCAAAGCCAATTAGGAGACTCCTTCCAGGTGTACTCTTCTCGTTGGGCTCATTATCAATCAAAACCAGACGCCCCATGGAGGATGAGCCACAGAGATTCTCAGAAATACACCCATGATAGTGCTCTGAGTGTGGGCAGAAAGGGCTTATTTATCAAAGCAAATACTTCCGAGAACCTCCTGCTTTTGAAAAGTCTTCATTCTTCTGGTCATGTGGTGGAGAGCACTTCTACTCAGTTCTGCCTGTATTTAATTACCTTAAGAAAATACTGGGTAAGGGGCACCTGGGTGGCTCAATTGTTGAGTGTCTGCCTTCGGCTCAGGTCATGATCCCAGGGTCCTGGGATCGAGCCCCGCATCGGGCTCCCTGCTCCGCGGGAAGCCTGCTTCTCCCTCTCCCACTCCCGCTGCTTGTGTTCCCTCTCTCGCTGTGTCTCTCTCTGTCAAATAAATAAATAAAATCGTTAAAAAAAAAAAAAAGAAAAGAAAAGAAAATACTGGGTAAGTTTTCAGCTAAGCGGTACAAGTTGGGGGTGGGGATGGGGTGGGAAGGGAACCCCTGATTTCCCGAATATTCAGAATCAGGACTAGGGACTCATACAAGACCAGGGTTGGACGTTCAGGTGCTACCTCCCCACCCCCTGTCCTTTCCTACCCCTTTCCTACCTACACACATACATAAGCTCAGTGAACAGGATGAGGGCTCCCACCTCTGTGCTTAGCACTCATCACTGAAAGCTGGATGTTCCAACATCAACTAAAGTGTCCCTTCTATGTGGCCTGAAAAGACAGCTGCCCAGGGTTAGGCTGCAAGTGGCTCTGGCGACAGGGAGAAGAGAGAGCAAGCAGCCCCTTGCAAACAGCTTTCTTTCAGCCTACAGGGGTGATGTGTCCCCTTCAGAATCAGAGTCCGCCCCTCGCCTCCAACAGTGGGTCACTAACATCAGCCAAGAACACACCCTGGGTTGTGTCGTTCCCTTGCCCTTCACATCAGTTCGGGATCCGGTGGGCCCTTGCTGAAATTCCTTCACATGCCTCCTCTCTGCCTCTAAGAGAACTGTGACAGAGAGACTTTAAGGGGCAGAAATGCCTTGGCACGAGGTAGCTGAGCCTAGATGTTGTACAAGACAGTCCTGAAAGCTCCATCTTCCTGAGTGAGAGCACGGAGCAAGCAGCCCAATCCTGGGGCCTCCTCTGGGCCAGATCTGGGGCTGGGAGCTGGGCTCCGAGAAATGAACAAGAGAAGCACAGTCTAGCCAGAAAGACTGACCTATAAACAACTGCAGGTCACTCTGGAGAGAACCATAAGACAGCTTCTTCTTGTTTTTTTTTTTTAAAGTTTGTTTGTTTGTTTGTTTGTTTGACAGAGAGTGAGAGAGACAGCGAGAGAGGGAACACCAGCAAGGGGAATGGGAGAGGGAGAAGCAGGCTTCCCGCGGAGCAGGGAGCCCGATGTGGGGCTCGATCCCAGGACCCCTGGGATCATGACCTGAGCCGAAGGCAGACACTTAAACACTGAGCCACCCAGGCGTCCCATATAAGACAGCTTCTGCACAATATGTCTGAGGGGCACAGAATGAGAAAGGAAACCTGCCTGGGGGTTAAAAAAAAAAAATTGTGAAAATTGTGAAAAGCTATCCGAAAAGTCAAAAATAGGGGATCCAATAGGTGAGGGCAGTGTTTCCAGAACTTGAGCTGAGTATACTCTCTCAAATGGAGCTATGTCCACCTCTACCAGCATTTACTTAATATTTTACTTTAAATTGATCAATTCAAAGGTTGAATGTTTCTTTGAAGGAAAGCTTTACTTATGTCACACTGTGACATAAATAGAAGGTAACTCTAAAAGTAAACACAATGAAAGCCAAATAGTGTCACTGAATCCCAACTAGGTCTAACCAATAGGTTAGTTACCTATTCAAAGTTCTGACACTGAGGCCTGGGTCCGCTTGCGCTCTCTCTGTTAACAGGGGATCAGCACATACTAAGGAGGTGTTAAAGACAAGCTAACACCAAACTGAGATTATATACTTCGTTAAAATAAAAGAATTGCAAGAGTACTGAAAATGGTAACAACTTACAGACGGTAATTCACATCATTTCATGCATACGAAAGTAGCACTCCAAATTGCCTTTCCCACGCTTTAAAATATACCGGATTAATTTTAATGCTTTTGTTAGGTTAGGTCCAGGGGGCCCAGGACAACTTAACTAGAACACAGACTAGACGTGGTGGGGAAATGTGAAAGGGTAGGCCCGGCACTGTGGAAGCTGCTAGCTGGCGAGCAGTGTGCACATTTCCATAATTGCAAAGTGTAATTTGAACAGGGCCACCCCCATCTGATCACCCTTTTCTGGATCTAATAACGCTCAATGAGGTCCATGGTACAAATATTTTTTATTTTAATTTAAAGTCTTTGATCCTCTCTTCATAACACTACTGACGTATAATAAGATTTTTAAAACCCCTTTATGTGGAAGGAAACAAAAGGGAGAATTCTTTGTAGAGAATGTTGCTGTAACACTTTCCATATTGAACGGTAATCCTGTGTTTATGTGTCTGTCTCCCCCACCAGACTGGGATCCTTCCGGGCAGGGATCTCCTGTTACTTTTCTCTGTCTCCTGAGTATATGGTGGAAGACTTGGACATGACAGCCCTCAGCGTCTGCTGGGTGAATTGGCCCCACCGGTAGAATGGTGGGAGGGGAAGGAAAAAACCCAAATACTCCAGTATGCTTCTGACCAATGTTTTCTTAATGTGAGACAATGTAGCATGGTAATTAATTCTTCTAGACCTGAATTCTTGCCTGTTGAAGATAATAACTGGGTTGGTGTAAGGATTAAATGAGCTAATAGATGTAAAGTGACTAGAACACTGCTGGTACATAGTAAACAACTGATGATAGTAGCTAGCGTTGTTACTGTTGTAATTCATATAATTACACCCGCGCGCACACACACGAATTGTCAAATGCTTGTATAGAGTGGACATTGTGACTTTCAGCCCACAATCTATTCTCCTTTCTTGGAATAATATTACCCTCAACCTCCTTTGAGGAATCATTTTTCCCCTAGTCTCAATCCACGCGACTTGGGGGCGGCAGGCCTCACTCCCTGGGTCCAAGAATGAGCACATGACCCAGATCTGGCCAATCAGGAGAGCCCAGGCTCCTGGCTACAACTGGCTACAAGAATGAGCACATGACCCAGATCTGGCCAATCAGGAGAGCCCAGGCTCCTGGCTACAACTCAGTAATGGGCACATGACCCAAGCCGAGCCAATGGGACTTGATCTTTGTGGAGATTTTGAGAAGAGGAACTCTTAATCTACTGGGCTTGCTAAACTGGCAGAATTTAGCGTCCAGAGCCTGGTGACCATGCTTGTCACCTCAAGTGCAGAGCTTACCTGAGAATGAAGCCCAAAGCAAAGAAAAGCAGAGAGCCCAAGGATGTAGAGAAAGAGCCTGGGTGACACTGCTTGAAACTCTGGATCTAGCTGTGCCTGAAGGTGAACGGATGATTGGGTGTTTTGGGGTTTTTTTAAGATTTCATTTATTTATTTGTCAGAGAGCACAAGTAGGGGGAGCGGCAGGCAGAGGGAGAAGCAGGCTCCCCGCTGAGCAAGGAGCCCAGCTGGGGACTTGATCCCAGGACCCTGAGATCATGATCTGAGCGGAAGGCAGCCGCTTAACCAACTGAGCCACCCAGGCATCCGGGATGATTGGGTTTGGGTTTGGGTTTTGTTTTTTTTGCTTAGGTGGGTTTGTCAGTGGTCTCAGAAGAGTCCTAATATACATAACTAGTCAGAGAGTATGTGTATCTTCATTCACTTTTTTGCATCAGGCTTATTAAGCGATTGAGTTTCAACAATTCGGTTCACCAAACGGGCACTGTGAGGGGTGTGGGAGAGCAGGGAACATAAACATTAATAAGACTGTCCCTGCTCTCAAGGTTCACATCTACAAGGGAATACAAACTTTACAGTCATGGGGCACCTGGGTGGCTCAGTGGTTAAGCGTCTGCCTTCGGTTCAGGTCATGGTCCCAGGGTCCGGGGATCAAGCCCCGCATCGGGCTCCCTGTTCAGCAGGAAGCCCGCTTCTCCCTCTCCCACTCCCCCTGCTTGTGTTCCCTCTCTCGCTGTGTCTCTGTCAAATAAATAAATAAAATCTTTAACAAAACAAAACTTTACAGTCATACCATAATACATGTGGTACTTGAGAGGCTACTGTCATAGAAGAACAGGAAGTAGAGGAAGACCAGTTCTGCCATAGGACTTTCTGGAAGAGAAGGGAGTATGGGCGCTTTACCATAAAATAATTTGCAGACATTTAACAGTGTTCTTTTGCCTGGGTTCCGGAAGCCATTCATACGATGCCTATTTCAATTAGATTTTAATCACCCACAGCTAGTGTATTCCTTTAACAAATGCCTGATGCTACCATGCGGAATGAAGTGTGCTTTATGCCTGCTCTGAATGTGTGCCCACCTGCCTTGTGATACCTAGAAGTCTCCTTCTGGGAGCAGTCCAGGTACGGTGAGGGGGAGGCGTTCGGTGGGGAACTACGGAACAGAAGCCCTAACCCTCACATGCCTATGGGGGGAGCATATAACTCTGTTAGGGCTCTGGCCTCTTGTGGTCAGAGGCTGTGTGAGTTCAGCTAGGGAGCTATGAGGTAATGGTATTGAGTTCCCTACTGCTTGCTTTTGAATGTAGCAAAAACACCAAGCTCTGCCCGCCCTAAAGCTCTGATACACAAAATGCCTCTTGTATCTCTGCTGCTTCTGTTACTCCTCACCGGCCCGGGAGAGTCTAAGCCCTTTAAATTGGCATACAAGGAAGATTCTTCTCAAGTGTGCCAGGGGTTGTTTGAGGTGCTTGGGAGACAAAGACAAAACCTGCTCCTCCTCTCAAGCAAGAGAAACCCCACTCAAACAGATTTATAGGGAATAAAATGTACAGGGGAATAAAATTAAAATATATTGACTTAGGGAACTGCAAGTTCCAGGGAGTAAATGTAGGTATCACTGGATCCAGCTCAGATGATTTTCAGGATTTGGTTTTTTCTTCTCTTCTCAGCTGTATTTCCCTCTATGTTGGCTTCCCTCTTGGGTAGGCTCTCCCCTATTGGAAAGTGGCCCCAATTTTTCCCTTAATGAGGACTCCAAGCAGCTCCAAGTTTACCTCATCCCAAATTCATGTTCAGAAAAAAGGAGATTCTTTCTTCTAAACAGTTGTTTTTTTAAAAAAAAAAAGTCCTGGATCTGACTCTTACTGTCTCGCAAAGTGAGTCATAGGCCCCTCATAAACCAATCATGGATTTGGAATACACTGATTGGCTCAAGTCTGGGTGTCAGGACCACCCTGGAGTAGCGGATGGAATGGGCTCCATGAGAACCATATGGATTGAGTCATGAGTGGGGGGAATTGGGTCTTCAAAGGGAATTCCGGGCACTATTATTAGAGGAAGGATGAGTGAATACTGGGCAAGCACAAAGTACACAAACTAAAATCTAACCTTCATTCAGCTGTTGCAGTAAGTCCGTTGTCTTGTCATAATACAGTGTTCTGTATGGGGTCCAGAAAATTGTTGGAGAGCAAGACTTTGTGGGGTCTCTTCAACATAGAGAGAATACTCTGGTTTTCAGGCTTACTACAGTTATCCAGAGAAAAGAACATCTGCTTATTTGCAGACTAGAAAAAGAAAAGGCATAAGGTAAGAAAAACATTCCTTAGGAAGATCCAACTCCATCTGCTCAAATTATTTGCTTAACAAGCAACTTTCTGAACTTGGTTTCTTGAAAGGTCCTACCTGCCACCCTAAGAGACTCTGGCACAAATAACCAATAGTTGTGTCTTTCCAGACATAGATGAAGGTATGGCATTCCACTGTATGCATCTATTCCTTGTCATTTCCCTGTGCTTTCTCCCTTGATGAAAAGATAAAAATCAGGTACTTAAACTAGGGAAGCCTCCACAAGTGGAGATGATGAGTCAGTAAAGCAGGCTGAAGCAATCAGCCTCTCTCTTTGCTGCTTGTTAGCTGCCACATTGCCCTTTTCAGAGGCAAAATCACAGGAAAAAGCAATATTTTTATCCCTACCAATTAGCATCCTGGCTTGCTATACTTTAACAAGTATTTTTCTGACTAGTTACCACGTCTTCATGTTGGCCACCTGTGAGAGTTTAAATTATTTTTGGCTCCAAGTTTTCACCCTTCCCTGTATCCACTCCTTTTGCCTGGAATTTTTCACTTTCTTTCACTAGGGACAGAGTGGACTTTTCTACCCCTTGACTTTGGGCTTGGTCATGTGACTTGCCTTGACCAATGGGATGTTGGTAAATGCACCACAAGCAGAGATCTCAACCTGTGTTTGGGCAGTTGGCTGTGCCTTCTTGCACCACTGCCTTAGCCATGAGAAGAACATACCCTAACACATTGCTCCAAGGGTAATGACAGACACCTGAGGCTGGCCTTGACTCCACCCTCAACCTGAAACACAGTCCAGTTGACCCCGACTGATATTAGCTGGTCTCTACTGAACTGAAGACCCATGGGAGGGTATAACTTATTTGGAAATAATTTCAAACATATCAAAGTTGCAAGAATAATCCAAAGAACATTTTTTTTTAAATCTGGATATACTAGTCATTAACATTTTGTCCCATTTGCTTTATCATTTGCTCTCCTTCTATATAATTTTTTTTCTGGAACATTTGAGAGTAAGTTATATATATCATACGTTTTCACCCCTAAATCCATCAGTGTGGTTTGCTTAAGAATAAGAACGTTCTCTTTCATAGCCACAGAGCAATTGTTAACTGCAGGAAATTTCACATCGATACAGTATTTTTACTTACTCTACCATTCATATTCCAATTTTATCAGTTGAGCCAATAATGTCCTCTATAGAATCATGTCTCTTTAGTCTTCTGTAATCTGAACAGTTTCTTAGCTGTTCTTGGACTGTAATAACATTGACATTTAAAAAAAAAAATACAACCTCTCCCTTCTTTCTTTTTTTTTTTAAAGATTTTATTTATTTATTTGACAGAGAGAGCACAAGCAGAGGGAGCAGGAGAAAGAGAGGGAGAAGCAGGCTCCCCACTGAGCAAGGAGCCCGATGCGGGGCTCGCTCTCAGGACCCTGGGATCATGACCCGAGCTGAAGGCAGACGCTCAGCCATCTGAGCCACCCAGGCACCCCTCTCCCTTCTTTCTATTATAGAATGTCTTCGTTTTGTGTTTAGTACTTTCTCATAATTCCATTCAGGCTATACATCTCCAGTTGGAATACCAAAGAAGTGATATTGTCATTCTCAGAGAATCCCATTTGGAGGCACATGATGTCCATTTAATCATTTGGTCAAGGTATTGTGTATTTTTTTACTTCCATATCATTACTGGTTTTCCGCTTGCAATGAATAAGCAATCTGTGGGGAGATAATTTTAAGACAATGCAAATATCCCGCTCTTCATCAAATTTTTCTCCAGATATTTAGCATCCATTGATGATTTTTGCCTGAACCAATCTTTGCTGCTGTCTTAGCTCAGGCTGCTATAACAGAATACCAGAAACATTTCTTTCTCACAGTTCTGGAGGCTGGAAGTTTGAGATCAGTCGCCAGCATGGTCAGGTTCTGGTGAAGACCCGCTTCCTGGTTTGCAGATGGCAAACAAATTCAAAGCTATATCCTCAGCTGCCAGCGACAGAGAGGGGGCTACCTCTCTTCCTCTTCTGATAAGGACACTAGGCCCATCATGGGGACTCCACTCTCATGACCTAATCACTTCCCAACAGTCCTACTTCCGAAGACCATCACATTAGAGCTCCCACATATGAATTTGGGGGGGACACAAACATTTAGTCCATTACAACGATTGCACTTGAACAATGATGACTTGCCAGCCCCAGCACTTCCTTCATATTCACCAGTCAGCACTCCTCATTCTACTATAAGCAAGAGCCCTCTCTGGGTCTCATCTATTTATCTATTTATTATGTGTATATATTAATGGATTTCTATTCTCTTCAAGGATTTATAATTCATTATTGTCCTGAATTATTTTGGTGCTCAAATTGTCCTAGATCTGGCAAATGACAGCCCCTTCAGGTTGGGTCTTGTGTCCTTGTGACATGTCTCCATCATTCTTTTTTGGCATTTTTTTTTAAAGATTTATTTATTTATTTGAGAGAGCGAGAATGAGAGAGAGAGAGAGAGAGTACATGAGTGGGGGAGGGTCAGAGGGAGAAGCAGGCTCCCCGCCGAGCAGGGAGCCCGATGCGGGACTCGATCCCGGGACTCCGGGATCATGACCCGAGCGGAAGGCAGTCGCCCAACCAACTGAGCCACCCAGGCGCCCCTTTTTTTGGCATTTTTTAATCTTATGGCAAAACAAGATGTTTTGAGCTCATTTTATACTTTTTCTCCTTCAGTCCTGGAATATGCCATTTCTACAAGGAGTCCTGCTTCCTGATAATGTGGAATGGTATTAGAACCCAAGATCTGTGTATGAGACATGCTAATAACTATTTTGCTTCTAGCCACACACACATACATAATCACATGCACACAAACATATAAAATATGTGCATACACATATAAACATACATATGTAAACATATGTGATGGTTAACTTTATGTGTCAATTTGACTGGTCACAGGGTGACCAGATTAAACATTATTTCTGGGGGTGTCTGTGAAGGGTTTATCTGAATGAGATTAGCATTTGAATCAGTGGACTCAGTAAGCAGAGGGAGCTGACCCTCTCCAATGTGGGTGGACATCATAAAATCCACTGAAGGCCTCAATAGCACAAAAGGTAGAGGAAGGAGGAATTTGCCCCCTTTGTCGGCCTCACTGGGACATCTCATCTCATTTTCTCTGGCCTTCAGACTGGGGTTTACACCATCAGCACCTCTGCGTCCCAGGCCTTTGGACTTGAACTGAATCAACTTTCCTGAATCTCCCATCTTACAGACCATAGACTGAGGGACTTCTCAGCCTCCCTAATCATAAGAGCCAATTCTTCATAATAATTATATATAGATATAGACAGATAATCATATATCAGATATACTGTTTTTGTTTCTGGAGAACCATGAATAGTACAAAATACATATATACACATTCTTTTTTTTTTTTTAAGATTTTATTTATTTATTTATTTATTTGAAAGAGAGAGAGAGTGAGTGAGTGAGAGAGAGCACACAAGCCAGGGGGTGGGGGGAAGAAGAGGGAGAGGGGGAAGCAGACTCCCCATTGAGCAGGGAACCCAGTGCGGGGCTCGATCCCAGGACCCTGGGATCATGACCTGAGCTGAAGGCAGACACTTAACCAACTGAGCCACCCAGGAGCCCCTATACACTCATACCTACTTTAGAAATCATGATCTCATACCAACACCTTCAATTCCATTCTGTCTCCCCCATCCTAATTTTATCTCTATCTACAATGAGAACCCCAGCTCCCAAAAATATCAAAACATCTACTCATTTGCTTAATCCTAAAATATATCTAAAGCAGTTTCAGAATTATTTTGCTCATATCAGTATAAAAATCAAATATAATGAAAAAGAATTCAGGATTTGTTTGCTGTTTCTCCCACAACCCAACCCTGACCAAAACTGAGAACAAATACACAAATGGCGTATACACAAGTTACTTGGATCAGTTCTTCTCTTCCTTTTTGTGTGATTATCTTATTCATTGGAAATGCTGCTGATTTCATTTGTTTTGGTTTGCTTTCAGTTTTAGATGTTTGCGGTCTCCTCATTCTTGTTGACTTAATGTTATTTTTTGAGTATATAAAACATTAATATGCTTCCCAAAGAAAAACCACACAAAAAAAGTATGGTGAAAGAAAGTCACTGCTTCCATATTCCTTGTCTAACTGCATTGGCCTACGCTCCCAGGACAATCTCAAATAATAGTAGGGTTAGTGGGTATTCTTGCTTTATTCCTGATCTTTAGTATTTTCCCCTTAAATAAGATACTGGCTTTAGGACTAAGGTAATATATTTCATCATGTTAAGGAAGTATTCACCCATTCCTGTTTCCTCAAGAATTTTTGGTTTTGGTTTTGGTTAGTTTTTATCTGTTCATTTTTTGGAATGGATGTTGTATTTTGTCAATGTTTTTAAAGCACATATGGGAATAATCACATGATTTTTCTTCTTGGATCTATAAATATGTTGAATTATATTAATATATATCCTAATATTGAACCATCCTTGCATTTCTATTATAAACCCCATTTGGTCATGGTTTATTATTTTCTTAATGTGGTGTTTGAGTCTGTTTGCTAACATTTTATTTCAGATTTTTTTTTTTAAGATTTTATTTATTTATTTGACAGAGAGAGACAGAGTGAGAGAGGGAACACAAGCAGGGGGAGTGGGAGAGGGAGAAGCAGGCTCCCCGCAGAGCAGGGAGCCCGATGTGGAACTCAATCCCAGGACCCTGGGATCATGACCTGAGCTGAAGGCAGTCGCTTAACCAACTGAGCCACCCAGGTGCCCCTTATTTCAGATTTTTAAAAAGAATATTTGTAAATGGTATTGGTTTATAATTTTATCATGTGTGGGATATCTTTATCAGCTTGAAATATCAATGTTAACCTACTTCATATAAAGAATTTAGAAGTTCACCTTTATTTTCTCTACTCCAGAACGATTTATGTAGCAGTGGGGCTATTTTCTAAGATTTGGTAGAATTCTCTTGTGAAACTATCTGAGCTTGGTGTTTTGATGTGGGATAGTTCTTTGATAACATTCTGTATTTCTTCCTTGAGATTGGTTTGTTTAACTTTTTATTTTGGGAAGGTCAGTTTTGGTCAACTGTCTTTTTCTAAGACATTATCCATTGCATTAGGTTTATAAATTTCTTTGCATAGGGCTATGTATGTAAAGGACCCTTTTATGACTTTCTGGCTTCCTCTATATTAATAGCTACTTTCCTCTTGTCATTTCTTATTCCACATATTTCTGCTTTCTCCTCTGCATACACTTCTAATTTAAATTAGCTAGTGGTTTGTCTATTTTCTGACTTTATTCAAAGAACCAGAATTTTTATTTATTTTGATCTACTGTTTTCTAGTTCTTTATTATTTCCTTCCTTGTGGTTTCTTTCTCTTTTTTTTTTTAAAGATTTATTTATTTGAGAGAGAGTGTGTGCATGGGGGTGGGGGGGCAGAGGGGGAGAGAAACTCAAGCAAACTCTGTGCTGAGTGCAGAGCCTCATGTGGGGCTTGATTTCACAACCCCGAGATCACGACCTAAGCTGAAAACCAAGTCAGATGTTCAATCAACTGCACCACCCAGGCACCCCTTCCTTGTGGTTTCTTTTGTTCTTTCTCTAACTTGAATTGGGAATTTAATTAATTTCAATTTAATTCAATTTATTGTTTAATTTTATCAATATAGGCTTTGGGGATATGAATTTTTCTTAGATATATGAATTTTCTTTGGGATATATGTTTTACATACATTCCATGGATTCTGATATGCAGCAATTCTGTAACTTCAGTAATTCCCTTATACCCAATCATTGTTAAATATAAGATTTTTAAATTTTCAGGTGGAAAATTATGGCAGTTATTAAATTATTGCATCTCAGATCCAAATTCACTTTCATTGCCTGCTCTGTGAAAATGGATATGGGCCCTTTAAATATTGTGCCTTTATCAGTTGGCACATGTTTAACTTTGACAGTAGAGGGCACTGGAGAGATATTGCAAGAAGAATTCCCATTCCCTCACTCAGTAGGCTCCCTCAGTGTGGGTGGCTTCTCCAGAGCCGGGCCTCTGAGATTCGTGAGCCTGTCCCTTGTCTAGTTCCTGCAGTACAGAGAGCTTCTCTAATGCAACCCCTTCAGGATCCATGGCTGCTCCAACTCCATGCTCCTGAAGCTGTAGCAGTTCTCCCAAGGCCCGGCTCCTGCAATACACAGGAGCTAACAACACCTAGCAAGTTGCAGCCTCCACAGGCAGGACCCATCACCTAGTTTCATGGCTATGGTGAGATACCTCCTCTGAACAGTTCCCAGCACCCTACAGGATAAATTTCTAGCCATTCCTGGAGAGGAGTTCCCAGCAACTTCACTAGTGTGGCCTAATAATAACCTCTCTGCCATCGATAGATCCAGGTCCATGTCCTTTCTAAGAAGGTCTGGCTCTTCACCCTACAGGGGCTTCTTCCTTAAACACACAATCTCTGCCCTAGGGGGCATGGCTGCTTCTCAGTTGGCCATTCCTGTGTTCTTTAGAGTTCCTTTCTGCCTTCCATAAAACTAAAATATCTAATACCAAAATTTCATGTGATGTATATGTTGCCACAATATTTAAAAATAAGCCTACAGCTAGCATCATACTTAATGGTGATGAATGAATGCTTTTTCCCTAAGATAAAGAACAAGTAAAGATGCCTGCTCTCACCATTTCTATTCAATATTGTAATGCCTACTAATTAGTGAAATTAGGCAAGGAAAAAAAATTGGAAAAGAAAAAGCAAAATTCTCTTTATTCACAGGCAACATAATCATCTATTTAGAAAATCCAATGGAATCTCTAAAAGAACTACTAGAACTAATAAATGACTTAGCAAGTCTGTAGGATATAATATCAACATACAAAAATCAATTGTATATCTATGTATTAGCAACAAACAAGCAGTAACTGGAATTATAAAACCAATACGATTTTCAGGGCATCTGGGTGGCTTAGTTGGTTAAGCATCTGACTCTTGGTTTCAGCTCAGGTCATGATCTCGTGGGTTGTGAGATCAAGCCCCACATCAGGCTCCACACTCAGTGGGGAGTCTGCTTGAAGATTCTCTCCCTCTGCCCCCCCTCAAATAAATAAATAAATCTTTAAAATATACTATTTTCAATACTATCAAAAGCTGAAGGGCGCCTGGGTGGCTCAGTTGGTTAAGCGACTGCCTTCGGCTCAGGTGATGATCCTGGAGTCCCGGGATCGAGTCCCATATCGGGCTCCTTGCTCAGCAGGGTGTCTGCTTCTCCCTCTGATCCTCCCCCCTCTCATGTGCTCTCTCTCTCTCATTCTCTCTCTCAAATAAATAAATAAAATCTTAAAAAAAAAAAAAAAAAGCTGAAGTCCTTAGGAATGCATCTGACAAAAGCTGTGCAAGACCTGTGCACTCAAAACCATAAAGCATTGCTGAGAGAAATTAAAGATGTATATAAAAAGAGATATACCAGGGGTGCCTGAGTGGCTCCGTTGGTTAAGTGGCTGCCTTTGGCTCAGGTCATGATCCTTGGGTTCTGGGATCGAGCCCTGCATCAGGCTCCCTGCTTGGCGAGGAGCCTCTTTCTCCCTCTCCCTCTGTCTTCTGCTCCCCCTACTTGTGTTCTCTTTCTGTGTCAAATAAATAAAATCTTTTTTAAAAAATAAAAAATAGAGATATACCATATTCATGGGTCGGAAGATTCAATATCGTTAGTATGTCAATCCTCCCCACATTTACCTATATATTCTATGTTATCTCAGTCAAAGTCCCAACCGGTTCTCTTTTTGGTAGAAATTGAAAGGACAGTTCTAAAATTCATATGGAAATGCAAAGAGCCTAGAATAGTCAAAATTACTTTGAAAAGAAAGAACAACATTGGAGGATTAATACAACCTGATATCAAGACTTATTATAAAGTTACAGTAATCAAGACAATATGGTATTGGCATCAAGAAAGACAAATAGATCAATGAAGCAGGGTAGAAAGTTCAGAAATAGATGCCCACATGAATATGGACAACTCTCTTTTTTACGAAGATGCAAAAACAGTTGAGTGGAGAAAGGACATCATTCAACAAATGTTGCTGAAAAGGTGTGCCTGGATGGCTCAGTCGGTTAAGCATTTGACTCTTGATTTTGGCTCAGGTCATGTTCTCAAGGTTGTGAGTTTGAGCCCCGCCATGGGCTCCATGCTGGGTGAGGAGCCTGCTTAAGATTCTCTCTCTCTCCCTTTGCCCCTCCTTCTCACTCTCTCTCTCTCTCTAAAAAAAAAAAAAAAGGAAACAAAACAAAACAAAATGTTGCTGAACAAATGGATATCTTTTTTCAAAAACAAAAAACAAACTTTGACCCATACCTCACACCATATACAAAAATTAACCCAGTGTGGATTATAGACCTAAATGTAAACCCCCAAACTCTAAATCTTCAAGAAGAGAACCTAGGAGAAAGCCTTTTTGACTTTGGTTTAGGCAAGGATTTCTTATATATGACACCAAAAGCATGATCCATAAAAGAACACATTAATAAATTGGACTTTATAAAAAATTTAAAATTCTGCTTTTTCACAAGACACTGTTAAGAGAATAAAAAGACAAGGCAAGGACTGGGAGTCTGTATCTGCAAGTCATATATTAGATAAAAGAGTTGCATCCAGAAAATATAAAGAACTCTCAAAGAACTTTCAATAATAAGAAAGAACTTTCAATAATAAGAAAACAAACAACACAATTTACAAATGGGCAAAAGATTTGAACTTATACTTTACCAAAGAAGATATACAAATGGTAAATAATCACATGAAAAAAATGTCTAGCATCATTACTTATTAGGGAAATGGAAATTAAAACTACAATAAGATATCCATTACGTATCTATCAGAACGGCTAATATTTAAAACTGGCCCAAAACAAGTGTTGGTGAGGATGTGAAGGAAATAGTTTTCATACAATACTGGTAGGAATGTAAATGGTAAGACCACTTTGGAAAATAGTTTGGCAGTTTCTTAAAAACAACAAACAACAACAACAAACTACCATATGTTCCATCCATTCTCCTACTAGCCATTTACCCAGGAGAAAGGAAAATATGTGCCCCTACATAGATATGTATATGAATATTCATAGCAACTTTACCTGTAATCGTGAAAACATGGTATATCCATACAATCGACAAACTGGTATATCTGTACGATGGAAAACTATTCATTAATTAAAAGGAATAAACCTTATAATATGGATTAATCTCAAAATAATTATGCTGAGTGAAAGAAGCCCTACCAAAAAGAGTACATACTGTATATATTCACTTACAGAAATTTTTTGAAAATGCAAAGTAATCTGTAGTGACATAAAGCAGATCAGTGGTTGCCTGGGGACAGGTGACTGGGGGAGGGACAATAGAAAGGTATTACCAAGGGGCATAAGGAAAGTTTTTGGAATAATGGACATATTATCTTGATTATGGTGATGGTTTCACAGGTGTATACACATGTCAAACTTATAAAAATGTACACTTTAAGATGTGCAGGGTAGTGTATTAAATTTTTTAAAAATCATGCTGGCTAGAGAATGTATTGTAAGATGAGGCAAGAAAGGACACAGAAAGGCCAGTTAAAAGGGTTTTGCAGTAGCCAAGGTGAGATTTGGAGGTGGCTAGAGAAAGAGAAAAAGTGGAGAGACTCAGAATATATACATATATTTTTAAGATTTTGTTTTATTTATTTGAGAGAGAGAGCTAGAGATAGAGAGAGGGAGAGAGAGAGCATGAGCAGTGGGGAGGAGCAGAGGGAGAGAGAGAAGCAGACTCCCTACTGAGCAGGGAGCCCACCATGGGGCTCAATCCCAGGACCTTGGGATCACGACCCAAGCCAAAGGCAGAAGCTTAACCAACTGAGCCACCCAGGTGCCTAAAGACTCAGAATATATTTAATGGATAGAATAAAGAGGACTTGATAATGGAATAGGTGTGAGAGGTAAAGAAGATGGAGGAATCACCAATAACTCTTGGGTTTGGGGCTTGAGCAATTGGATGGATTATGATGCCATTTGTGGAGGATGAAAAAGACTGAAAAACAGTTTGGCAGAGTGGGGAGAATTGAGTTTTTCAAGGAGGTGTGTTCTTTAAAATCCCATCTGTGGTCTAAACTGCATCAGGAAATGCCTGATATGCGAGTTCAGAATGCTGGTTGCCAGACTCCATCCCAAACCAAATCAGAATCTCTGGGAAATCATATTAAAAATCTCCCCAGGTCACTGAATTCCATACTAAAGTTTGACAGCTATTGGACTTCATTTCTCCCTTCCCTTTTTCCCTCCTCCATACTTCCCCTTTTTCTTTCTCCCTTGCCAATTCTCCTTGAAGAATTAGCTAAGTATAGAAGGCACTGGAGATACAACAATTATAAACACATAACACCAAACAACAAAGCTCCAAAATACAAGAAGGGAAAATCAATAAACCAATAAATGAGCTCAGCAAGGTTGCAGGATACTTGATCAATATACAAAAATCACTTGTATTTCTATGCACTTGTAATGAACAACCTGAAAAGGAAATTAGGACAATAATCCATTTGCAAATAGCAAATCATAGAATTTACAATAGTATGAAAAAAATAAAAATACTTAGGAATAAATTTAAGAAGTACAAGTGTTGTACACTGAAAACTACAAAATGTCCTTGAAAGGAATTTGAGACATAAATAAGTGGAAAGATATCCATATTCTTAAAATGGAAGGCTTAATATTGTTAAGATGGCAATTGTCACCAAGTTGATCTATAGATTCAACACATTTCCCATCAAAATTCCAGCTCCTTTTTTTTTTTTTCCAGAAATGGACAAGCTGATAAAATTCATGTGGAAAAATAAGGCACCCAGAATAGCCAAAACATCTTAAAAGGGAGAACAAAGTCGGGAGACTCGTAATTCCTAACTTCAATACTTAACTCTGAAACTACAGTACTCAAGACAGTGTAGTACTGGCATAAGGACCAATGGAATAGGGGCACCTGGCTGGCTCAGTCGGTAGAGCCTGTGACTCCTGATAACAGGGTGGTGAGTTCAAGCCCCACGTTGGGCATAGTGCTTTCTTACAAACAAACCCAACCTTTAAAAAAAAGAGACTAATGGAATAGAATTGAGTCTAGAAATAAACTGATACATTTATGGTTAATTGGTTTTTAACAGGAATGCGAAGACAATTCAGGGGAGAATAGAATGGTCTTTTCAACAAATTGTGGAACACTGAAAATCCACATGCAAAAGAATGAAGTTGGACCCCTACCTCACACCAAACTAAAAAATTAATTCAAAGTGGGTTAAAGACCTAAATGTCAGAGGTAAAACTATAAAACTCTTAGAGGAAAAGAGGTGTAGATCTTCATGACTTTGTGTTAGACAGTGGTTTCTTAGACATGAGCCCCAAAGCACAAGTAACCAAAGAAAAAATTGGAAAAATGAACTTTATGAAAATTGAAAACTTTCATGCTTCAAAGGACACTATCAAGAAAATTATGGAAATATGGGAGAAAATATTTGTAAATCATATATCTGCTAAGGGATTTGTAGTCAGAATACAGAAAGAACCCTTACAACTCAATATAAAAAGACAAAACTATTTAAAAATGTGCAAAGTGAGTAAACATTTTTCCAAAAATGTTTGGAAATGGTCAGTAAGTACATGAAAAGGCATTCAACGTTATTAATCATTGGGAAGTACAAGTCAAAACTACAGCAAGATACCCTACATATCAAAAACAGCTGTACCATTTCACACTTCTTTATAAATTACTGGTGGGAATATAAAATGGTGCAGACATTTTGGAAAATACTTTGCCAATTCCTCAGAAAGTTAAACATAGAGTTACCATAGGCCCAAGCAATTCCACTCCTAGGTATATGCCCAGAATAACAGAAAACATATGTCCACACAAAAACTTGTACATGAGTGTTCATAACAGCTTTAATCATAATACCCCAAAAGTGGAAACAACCCAAATGCTCATCAAGTGATGAATAAACACAATGTGCTTATCCACACAATAGAAAATTAATCAGCCATAAATAGGAATGAAGTACTGATACATTATACAATATGGATGAACCTTGAAAACATTATGCTACATAAAAGAAATCAGTGACAAAAGACCAAATATGATTGCATTTATATGAAATGTCCAGAATAGACAAAATATAGGGACAAGAAATTGATTAGTGTTGCCTGGGCTGGAGCTGGGAGCTGGGAGCAAATGGGGAGTGACTGCGACTGCGAAGACGGTGACTTTCTTTTTGAGGTGATGAAAATATTCTAAAATTGATTGTAAAATTGATTGTAAATATACTAGAAACCATTGAATTGTACACTTTATTTTTTATTATTTTAATCAAGGTATAATTGTCATGTAACATACTAGTTTTGGGTGTGTAACCTGATTATTCAATATTTGTATATATTTCAAAATGATCACCACAATAAGTCTAATAAACATCCATCACCATACATGATTATAAAATTTTTTTCTTGTGATGAGAACTTTCAAGATTTACTCCCTTAGCAACTTTCAAATATACAATATAGTGTTTACTACAGTCACCATGCTGTACATTACATCCCCATGACTTATGTATTTCATAACTGGAAGTTTGTACATTTTGACCCCTCCACCCATTCTTCTGCCACCCCCCCCACACACACACACACCTCTGGCAACCCCAATCAGTTTCTGTATCTGCGGGCTTGGAGTGGTTTTGTTTTTATTGTTGTTTTAAGTCCCACATATAAGTGAGATCATAAGGTATTTCTCTTTCTCTGTTTGACTTATTTCACTTAGCATAATGCCCTCAGGGTCCATCCGTGTTGTCACAAATAGCAAGATTTCATTCTTTTTCATGACTGCATAATATTCCATTGTGTGAATATGTGTTTGTATGTATATCTCACATTTTCTTTATCCATTCAACTATTGATGGGCACTTAAGTTTGTTTCCATGTCTTGGCTATTGTAAATAATGCTGCAATAAACACGGGGGTGCATATATCTTTTTGAGTTAATGCTTTCATTTTCTTTTTTTTTTTTCCTTTTCTTTTTCAAAGATTTATTTATTTATTTATTTGAGAGAGAGAGCGAGAGAGAGCACACACAGAGGAAGAGGGGGAAGCAGACTCCCAGCTGAGCAGGGAGCCCAACATGGGGCCTGACCCCAGGACCCCAGGATCATGACCTGAGCTGAAGGCAGATGCTTAACCGACTGAGCTACCCAGGTGCCCCAAATGTTTTCGTTTTCTTCGGTTAAATACCCAGAACTGGAATTGCTGAATCATATGGTAGCTCTATTTTTAACTTTTTGAGGAACCTCCATACTGTTGTCCATAGTGGCTATACCAATTTGAATCATACACTTTATTATTTTTTCTTGAATCATACACTTTAAATTGGTGAAATACATGGTATATGAATTCTATCTCAATAAAGACATTATAAAAAATAGAGAAGCACATACACAGGTGCACAAAGAAGGCTCTGTTTTGTTTTTTTTATTTTAATTTTTTTAATTAACATATAATGTATTATTTGTTTCAGGGATACAGGTCTGTGATTCATCAGTCTTCCACAATTCACAGCGCTCACCAGAGCACATACGCTCCCCAGTGTCCACCATCCAGCCCCCCGGAAGGCTGTTTCTATAGAAGATCTTAAGTGGATTGAGCCATGCAGTAAGTTTAAATAGGTGATGCTAGACATGAAGAAGAGGAGAGTTAATAAAGAGCCCCCACAGAGTTTAGAGCATTGTTACTGGCCCAGTTTTAGAGGTGAGGAAACTGAGCTGTATAGAAATTTAAGGTCATGTAGCTAGTACAGAATGGAAGCCAGATTCCAACCCAGGAAGTTGATAGCAGAGCCGGGGCCCTTAACTGCCACATGACTCTGTCTCCTGGGAACTTGTGATTGTGCTCTAAGATAAAAGCAAGGTGGAGAATACCCATAACTGAAAACCTCTCAATGACATGGCTCTCTCTTCCTAGGGCAACTCCTCAGTGCTCGTCAGAAACACTCATCACTTGGGTGCCTATCATCTGTTTAATAGACATTGTGGAAGTCTTGGTTTCTGCAATTTCTAGAGCAAAATTCAGGACAAAGTAACCCCTTTGAAGATATTCAACGCACAGCTTCTCTCCTTCAGGGAAGCGATGAAGTGATGTCTGTCTGCCAATGTGAATACTCAGCTGAGAATGATCAGATAGAAGAGGGCTTTGTGACACAGTACCTGAATGTCAGAGCAACCTCTGAAAACTCATAAAAACATGATGGTATATAAGCTTTTTTGAATTTTCATGACTACCCAGGACAACACTAATTTGTCAGTATAAATTTAATACAGCAGATTTCTATTTCTCACCAGACATTTCTGTGCTTTTATGTAAGTATAAGATTTTGTTTGTCAAACCCTCATTTTTATCTGATTATCAAATAAACACAAGGACAGAAATCTTTCTCTGCATTTTGGACTATTTCTATGAGCTAGATACCTGTGTGTGGGATAATCCCAAATCAAAGTGTATGAACATTTTTAAGGTTCTTGATCCTTGTTTCCAAATTACTTTGCAAAAAGATTGAACCAATTTATACTCCCACCAGCAGTGTATGAAAATATATTTATATGCAAATTCCAAGCTGCAGAGTCTCTTTCTTAGGTATTTCACTTAAAAAAATTTTTTTTAATGCTAAGCAAAAGCCGACCCAGGGTGTTAAAAAAAGAAAGTCTGATATAAAAATGGAGCAGATAGTTAAAACAGCTTGGGCAGAAATAAGCTTTATAAAGGCCCAAGCAGGCTGATAAAAATTTTAAGGCATCATAGCAGGACACAATTCTGAAGGGACCATTAACAATTTGGCTTAGATTAGGTTAGCGACCGCCAAGAATGTCGGGCGTGGCCCATGTACCAAACTGCAGTTTAGAAAAAGCAGGGTATTTTATTTTTCTTATACTTCATTTTGTTCTAAAGACGATTTAAGATACCTAAAGGGAGGATCTTGAGACGTAGCATTGTGTCTGAATAATCAATCCCGTGAAGATGAAATGAACCCACGCCCTCAAAACTACTGTCAGCGCTTATCTCTCCTACACGGAATGCCTCGCCTCTGTAATCTGAGTCCAGCTTGCAACCACAATGACCGCCTCTACGTCTAATAATGGGGCACAGTGATTTGGGTGGGGGGGCTTGGGAGCGGGGCAGACAAGGGGAAGCCCAGACTCCGCGTACCAATCCACTGAATTCTATACAAACCTCAAAGGTTCTCGGACCTCAACCTTCAGGTAGGACCCCCCACCCACCTCGGCCAGTGATTTGGGAACCAGCCTCGTCCCCGTCTGCGAGGGTTCTTTTACTACTTCTCTGTGCCCCCTCCGACCCGCTTCCACGAGAAAGAAAAAGAGCTGACGCCCGAGGAGGAGCCAGAAACTCGATTTCACCCCTCTCCACTTCTCCTTTCTCACTTTTGTTCCTCCTTTCCTGCTGCCTCTCCCTTTTTCCCTTTCCTTTCTTCTCTTTTCCTATCCCTTCTCGCCTCCTTTCCCTGCCTCTTCCCCCGGACCGATCCCCGCTTCGCCTCCGCTCCTCAGCATCAGAGCTCCGCTCCCCTCCCCTCTCCTCCCCACCGCCCTAGCTCTCCGGCCCCATCCCGCAGCCAATCAGCGCGCGGCCTCCCGCGGCCCCGCCCCCGCCGGCCGTTCCGGGCGAGCCCCGCGGAGCCCAGGCCGCGGGTGCGGAGGGCGGCGCCGCGGGGCGGGGGCCGATGGGGCCTGGCGGACGGGCGGCGCCGGTGCGGGGCTCGCCCGGACGCGGGTGTGCGGGGCTGTGAGGGGGCGAGGCGGGCGCTGCGGCCCGCCCGGGATGGGCCAGCCCTGGCCTGGCGGGGCCGAGCCGGAGGCGAGGGCGGCGCGCGGGTCAGGCCTGCCGGGCGGGCGGCCCGGGGGCTGAGGTAGAAGTGGGCGCGGAGGAAGGGGCCGAGCCAAGGCGGTGGGTGGAGCGGCGAGGGGGGCGGAGGCTGGGCCGCGGCGGGCGAGCGGAGCGGCGCGCCTGCCCGGGGCTCGGTGGCGGCGGCGGCGGCGCTTGAGGAGGCAGAGGCGGCGGCGGGCCGGACGAGCGCCCGGAGGTGGCGGACGAGGCGCCGGGGGCCCCCATGGGCGGGTGTGTGGGCGCCCAGCACGACTCCTCGGGCAGCCTCAACGAGAACTCGGAGGGCACCGGAGGTAGGTGAGCGCCAGGGGGCAGCCTCGGCCCCCCATTGTTCCCGGCCAGGCCCCGCCACCTGTCCCGGCCCCTGCGGGCCCGCGGGCCGCGCGGCCGGGGCCCCCGCGCCCCTTTGTCATCCCCTCCTCCACGTCACTCCCCGCGCTCCGCTTCCGGCCGCCCCGCCGGCCGCGGGGTCGCCCCCTGCCCTCCCGGCCCCTGAGGAAAGTCCTTCGCACGCCGGGGATGTAGCCCTTGGCCTCTCGACCCCACCGCCTCGGCTTGGGAAACTCGGACTAGAAACTGCCTTCTTTGGCCACCTCACTCCCTCCCCAGCCCGTTTAATTATTCAGGAACAGGATGGCGGCGCTGGGGTTGCAGAAAAGCGAATTGATGGGGGGTTGGGGAGGGGAGCCTAATGCATTCCCTCCGACGGGCCCCGCCACATCTCTCCGCACCCTTCCTCGTTCGGCAGAGTTGGCTGGTCTCAGCTTTCCTGAGTTTCGGATGACAGCTGCCCTGGTTGGTTCCAGTTTGGCCATTTAAACCTGCAAGTTTCTGGAGCTTGGCTGGGGAAGTCTCAAGTGGCCACACGCATTATTTTAAGGAGGGGTGGGGAAACAGTCCGCCCGAGGAAAACGTGGCTTCTTGCTACGGCATGCGGGTGTTGGGCCAGTTTGCTGTCGGGGTGGGCTAGTCAAATTCCTATCGGCCTTACGTAAAGGAAAATGTGTAGGATAAAAGTACAAATACAGGAGTCCGACTCAGCCCCGTAGGATCAGTACTTGAAAAGTTTTCTGACACGGAACGCACTTCTAATTTATTGTAAATAGTTTGGTGGGGAGAGCTTTTTAATTCAATCGGCATTGTGGTATAGCGGTATAATAATCTGCCTTTACTTAAATGATCTTTGGCAGAGTCCACTCTATAGCTTGGGTAGAGGGCAGAATGTTTTAGTGAAAGAAGAAACAGCTAGGAATAGCAAAGATGACAGTGTAGGTTTTGTTCCAACCTTCTGTTAGATGTCTCAGAATGTGGGGCATATTTATAAGTTCCTAAGCTAAGTCGTTTGGGGATGAGAGGGTTTACAACTTTTTCTTTAGACCAGTTGCTTGCCCTCTCACTTGAGCTCCATTTATATAAACTGTGTACACCTAACATTTGACTGATAAATTTCCTGAATTACATGATATTTTGCCATGCCACCTCATTAAAATCTGTGGGTTTCCTGTATGATTAAATCCTGGGCAGGTATTTTGAGAGTTCAGTGAAGTGTGTCTTGAAAAAAACTTGTCCAGGAAAACATGTCATAGCATTATTACTTGGTGGCACATTAACAGTGAGATCCTCAGTGACAACAAAGCAGGAGATAAAAAGGGCATGATTTTATTTTTTTATTTTTTATTTTTTTAACGATTTTATTTATTTATTTGACAGAGACACAGTGAGAGAGGGAACACAAGCAGGGGGAGTGGGAGATGGAGAAGCAGGCTCCATGCAGAGCAGGGAGCCCGATGCAGGACTCGATCCCAGGACCCTGGGATCATGACCTGAGCCGAAGGCAGTCGCTTAACCGACCGGGCCACCCAGGCGCCCAAAAGGGCATGATTTTAAAACAGCTCTGGGGTAAGGTCAAATTGGGGGTCACAGTGATTCTTCCTGCAATTGAGGTGATCATTAATGGTACCAAAATATATTAGTCCGTGCTATAGGTAGTGTTTAGTTTCAATTTAATTTTTTTGCACTCAAAATTTTTAATAAACATTTTTCTCGTCTCGGTAATGAACTTGAACCAATTTATTTAAGCCTTTTGGTAATGTGAGTTATGACAGCCAGGCATTATTAGCAAGGGCTTTTAAAAGCATGAAGTCTTAGCTTCTGGTAATTTATTACCAGTGGTGTCTAGTTAGATAGCCCTGGTATCAGTTTCCTTGAGAACTGAGTTCTCTGGACTTTAAGCTGCGCTATACCTTTCCAAAGTAAAGTTTAGAAAAAAGGAACACCAACTACCAAACCTCTTTATTTTCTCCTGAAGAGGAAGTATGGGCCTCGTGTAACTGGATGGAGGAAGGAGCTGTGTGGGATAAAAGGATTGTTTCTGGAATTTAATTATGGAAGCCTTTATTTGTCGTCATTGTCATGGTAGTTAAGAGTTAATTGTGGTTTAAAGGAATTAGCTCAGGTGAGTGTTTCACGTTAACACATTAGTTTTTGCTTATTATAGTAGGTTTTTGTTGAGAAGAGAAAAACTATTTTTCCTAAGGGTGTTGGCATAGATCATTCGCTTTTCAAACATAATGGTTCATAGTTTTAATCAGGACGTTTGGGTTATGAAAAATTCTTTTATCAACATGAAGTAAAATAAAGTCTTCTGATGCTTTTCATGACTGTTTTAATTACATTCACCAATGTTGTTGAATGTAATGTTGAATCTCACCATTTTAGATTGATTTGAAACGACTTTAAAAAACCTTTTTGGCCATTTGAGATACTGTACTTTCCCTTTCCCTCTGGATCTAAGTCTCGTATGTATGCAAGTTAATCGCAGTACAGGAGAAAAGCTTCCTTACCTGGTGATTTACTTCTCTGAAGGAATTTGGGAAATTTTTGCAAAAGACTGTAGAATACGGAAATTGCTTAATTCACATTATAAGATTTGTGTTACATGTTATTTTGGAATCATTTGTAGTGTCTTCCCTCTGGCATACCTTGCCTAGAATTGTTTTTGAGTTTCAGCTAGTTTGACTATTTTTTAAATGCCTAATTTTCATCAAGACAAGCATATTATATACATTATACAAGATTATTTAACAGTTCACTCCAAGTTTCCATGCTCCTAGAACATTTTTTAGACAGCATATTCTTTATGGTTCTCTGCCTTCTTATAATGATACTGTGATGCTGGGGTTGGAACTCAGGACCTCTAGACAAAGCTTTATTTTAGTCCATGGCATTGGCTAAGGAATTAAATCTCATGATTTTTAAAAATAAATATGTGGGGGAAAACAGTAAAATGAAATTAGTTGAAGAGAGCCAACTGGCTTCTTTTCTTATTTTGTTTACCTCTTTAATGAACGTAATGATGTACAAAATAGGTTCTCACTTTCTGGGTGTATCATTTATTCTTACGTTCAGTGATACCCCAAGAGGTCTAATCCTTGGTGGTCATAAGTTTCCAGGTTTACACAGGATAACTGACTGCTGGGCATTCATTTCTTTATTTCAGGGTGTCTCGAGAAGATCAT